CTGCTTGTGTACTCTCACTCTCTCTCTCTCTCTCTCTCTCTCAAAAATAAAATAAACATTAAAAAAATAAAATGACGATAATTGATAACAGAAAATGGGCAAGGTGCTCATAGAAATAGTCAAGGAAGGAGGCTATTTAAGATAGGTGAATCAGGGGAAGAGGTAGCGTGTAAGCAGACCTGAGGAGGGGTGCCTGAGTGGCTCAATGGGTTAAGCGTCCAACTCTTGATTTCAGCTCACGTCATGATCTTGGGATTTGTGGGTTTCAGCCCTGTGCTGAACACAGAGCCTGCTTGGGATTCTCTCTCTCCCTCCCTCTCTGCCCCTTCTCAGCTTGCGCTTTCTCTGTCTCTCTCAAAATAAATAAAGTAAATAAACAGACCTGAGGAATGGGGAGGCAGCAGACATGAAAAGTAGAAACCCAGTGCAACATTTCACAGTCTTTGTCAACACTTTCTCTTAACACTGTAATGATTCTTATTGTGTGATAAGGATGAACTAACTATTCTTATTGTGTGATAGGGATGAATTAAAAAGGGATGGTGGGGGTGTCTGGGTGGCTCAGTTGGTTAAGTGTCCAACTCATGATCTCAGCTCAGGTCTTGATCTCAGGGTCGTGAGTTCAAGCTCTACATTGGGCTCCAGGCTGGGTGTGAAGTCTACTTTAAAAAGAAGTAAAAGTAAAGGAGATGGGAAGACTCACTATATCCGTGTGACCCTCACTCCCATTCAGATGTTTGTCCTTGGATGTCTCCTGCCTTTCTTTGCCTTGGGAGCTCTTGTCCTCTTGTAATCTTTTGCACCTGCCTGTATGAGCACTGAGGGATCCAGACTTTATTATACAGAGAATCTCCAAAGGCTTGACTTGAATCCTTCCTCAGGTCTGACATAAGTAGATCAAATGAATCAGGGTTCATTTAGTTACAAGTGGCAGAAAAAAACAACCCAAAGTGGCTTGACCAAGCAAAGGAATTTATTGGCTCCCTTAACTGAAAAGTTCAAGTAAAGAGTTCAGGTATGGCTGGATTCTGAGTCTTCAACACTATTGTAAAGAATCTGTCTCTCACCATCTTTTGACCCTACTTTCCTTTGCGTTGGCTTCAGTCAGAGGCAGGTTCTTTCCATGCAGTGAATTCTAGCAGGTTCAGGTGTTTATCCTTCCAAGGTCAGTCCAGAGAAAGACTGTCTTATTCCTCTATTTCAATTAGGACATCCCTAATTATTCCAGCTAACGTCCTGGTTGGTTTTGACTGGATCACATGCCCAGTCTAGAACAAATCATGGCAGCCAAGCTGAGGGAAAACTTGACTAGTCGGGACTGGGCCATAGCATCACTTCTGGAACTCAGCAGGCAGTTACTCCAGCTGAACCACATGAAGTAAGAGTGTGGGAGGGGTGGCTCTCCAGGGAAAGTCGTGCACAATGAATGGCTACTGTGGAAGAATTTCAGGAAACCCTACACATCCACACCAACCCCCTTGAATCAAAGCTCACTGAAGAGATTCCTCTGTGATTTTCTACACCAAAGCATTTGATATACTACTCTCTGGAATTGAAGAGAGAAGGACAAACCTATTTCTGTAGGACTTTAGAGAAAGAAAAATTCACTGTGGCCAAGATAGCCAGGGAAGACTTCATGAAGAAAGTGACATTTGACTTGAACCACTGCCCCTCCACCCCCCCACCGTCCCGCCCAAATAAAAAGCTGGTTGGATTGTAACAGTTGGGGATGTAGGAAGTACATTTCAGATGGAGGGAATGATTTGAGCAAAGGCAAAGGAGCAGAATATTACAAGGTTTGTGAGACAGTGCTGGAAACAGATGCTGGAAAAGTTTGGATTCTGACGCAGGAGAACTTATGTGAGCAAACTATCTGAAGGTCATGAGTGACTGAGGAAAATACGCCAGCAGGCACAGGCACAGGCACAGGACACAGTTCCTTTCATGCTGGTGAAGGATACAAGAGTTTCACTGCCAGAAGACACCTCCCTGGATCAGGGGACACACTCAATGGAAGCAGCACCTTAGGGACACGAACATGGAGGCGGGGGCTAGGATGCTTCGGAATGGGAGTGTGTCCAGAGGAGTATGGGTGAGGGATTGGTCCAGAGGCTACTGATCTAGCTCTGTTATTCCCTCCTAGTCTCTGGATGGTTCATCTTTATTCTTCCTTATTTTTTATAGGCTAAATCCATTCTGCAAGGATTCCTGGAGGATGCAGGCTATCGTATCCAGGATCTGAAGAGTTTCCACTTAGTAGGACTTGGTACAACCTTGTGTGCTATGAACATCACTGAAGTCTCACTTATAAAAATCTCAGAATTCAGGTAACCAAACCAGTTGTGTGCACAATGGCAAATGATTGACCAGCTCATTCGTCCAGCAACATGTTCTCCGCTTCCTGATGCTTTGCCGCCTTTCTGGGCTAAGATAAGGAGTGGAGTCAGCTGGATCCTTTCTGGATGCTGAGCCTACCTACCTTCTTCTTTTTTTTTTTTTAGTGTTTGTTATTTATTTGAGAGAGAGCAAGCATGGGAAGGGCAGAGAGAGAATCCCAAGCAGGCCCCATGCTGTCATCACAGAGCCTGACGCAGGGCTTGATCCCATGAACCATGAGATCATGACCTGAGCTGAAACCAAGAGTCAGATGCTTATTAACTGAGCCGCTCAGGCCCCGAGCCTGCCTACTTTCTGCACACCAGTTGTGTCTGAAGAGTCTCCCAGGCTCACACTATATTCTTCCCTCTTACTTAGGGTGGTCGTGGCCAGAATCGGAACCCTGCTCTGCAGCACCCATGTCTTGGCTGAGTTTAAGAGGAAGGCAGAAGTTGTATTTGGGGATCCCGCCAAGTGGTCCGGCCCTGTCTTGCAGGAGCTCGGGACCATTGCAGGTAAGAGGCACCTTGAGCATGCCTTCTCTCCCTTTCCAACCTTTGTCCTGGGGACAAAAGCAAATAATAATAATAATAATAATAATAATAATAATAATAA